ATAAAGCTAATCATGGTTGTCTGCTTGAGTCCACTCGCCGGTACTTCTGGTCACCTTCTTCCTTGTTATTGAGTACTCTGCTCGTTTGGTCACTAAGAATAAAAATAAAATCAAACAACAGCAGCAACAACAACAACAACAACAACAACAACAACAACAACAACAACAACAACAACAACAACAACAACAACAACAACAACAACAACAACAACAACAACAACAGAATCCACGCGCTGAAAGTCAGCTCGAGGTAGGGGTCGACGGCATAATAATATTATTATGCTCGAGGAAATGACTTATTCTGCTTTTCATTCTGCTCTGTTCTGCCGTGAACAATGCTGCCCGTTGTCTTGGTGTTCTCAGCCTATCAATGTATCATCTGCTCGATAAGTGTTAGTTATCTGTGTGCTCGGTATCGCGTAACCAGGCACAGATAACTGACACTTTCCCACGCACTCCATATCGCGCTATATTTTACATGACTTTTGTTTAAACTTTACACTGGACTTGCCACATTCCTGGTATTGCAATACTCCTAGGGCTAGGGCAGGGGCAATATCAATGTCTGTCTGATGCCGGATCGATTCAATTCGTGAAACTCAGAGTTACGAAACCGCAACTGGCCGTTCTTCTGGATAAAAAGGAGAAGGACGAAATGGTACGGGTTTTGTAACTGTCCACTAACGTAGCCATGGTATTACCAGATTTTGACTTACAACTACCGTAAAATCCCGCCAGAGCGCCCCTACCTCCTCGTCGCTTCAGGTGGGAGAGGTAAGGCGGATGGGCGAGTCCTCCTTGCCGCATTCAGTGCAACATGAAAAAGTACTCACCCTACGAAAACTGTTCGTGCATCTCGTACACCGACCAAAGGTCAAGAGCCAGGAGTCGTACAGACCCGTCAAAACTCAGGGTTTTTGCGATCCCTGGTCAAGAGGGTACCTAGCATTGTAGGGTGGGCACTGTTACGTACATTTCCAACGGGGTCGAGCACGCGTGTGCAGTACAGTACGGCATCACAGACTGCGACAGAGTCATGTAAAGAATATCTCATGAGTACGAGGGTGATACACGAGGATACATCCCTGACAAGAAGTCAGGGAGGGGCGGACAGGAGAGACGGGGCGCTCTGGCGGGATTTTACGGTACAAGTCAGTCAGCGAGCGCGACAAAAAGGCACAAAACTGAGATGAGAGAGAGAAAGTCATGCAGACCGGTAGTACCATGTGCAGTGCTGCCAAATAATTTTCGCCCAAAATCGGACACCCTTCATCGCCAAGGCTGGCCACATGGTGCGAATTTTTCTCCTCAGCATTTTTTTTCCGGAGAATTCAAATTACCATGAAAATTCGCTCCGTTGTCATGGTAACCGATCTTGCACACCGAAGTAATTGGTTGCCATGCCTGAATTTTGTAATCCTGGGAATGCATGAGTGTGGTCACACACTGTTAGTCCATCAGCCAGTGGTGCCAAAGTGAGTCCCCTGTTGCACTTACAAATCGAACACCTGGAACTGACATCAATCGACAGCAAAAGCATCACTGAATCCGACCTGCCTACTTTCCCTGGCGAAACTCTTGCACTCCTTTTGCAGTGCGCCTTGGAAGTTCGAAAAATTTCTTCTTCTTCATCAGCCATTACGAGGTTTTCCATCCGTTTTATCAGGACATCCAATGCATCTTCAGTGAAAAGCGTGGAGTTTTGTCAACGTTTGGTGTGGTTTTCCGTGGCGATCGACCTAAAATCGCGAAATAAATCGCCGTCGATTTGACCAGAGGTGAGTTGGCTTGGAGCACGTACAGATTCAAAAAATATGTGTACATGCGCACCGGGAAGAAGATGAAGATGCTCACCATTTTCAAATAACTAATTCAAAAAACTACATGGCTATTGTACTGCAATTGTTGTAGTTACTTGTTTGCAACTACAATGGTATCAAGTAGATAATCAAGCGAGGTACAGAGGGATTGATGGCTGATCAAAGCCCAAGGGACCAGCCCGAAGGCTTTGATCAGTCATCAAGCCCGACTGTACCTCGCTTGAATATGCTTCAGACGATCCCCAACAATTTTTTTGATTTTGAATTCAATCGCTTCATTCTTTGGGTGATCTCGAGTGTGGTAGATAGTACTTCGAAGCAGTACAACTGTAACTGTACTACTACCTGGTTGCAACATGTTCAAAGCAGCCTTGCCTTTCTTTCAACTGTTTGCTGTCAGCATCCAGAGCCATGGCGTTTGCTAGTTGGTCGTAATGGAGAAGAGAACTGCAGGGCATTCACTCGATGTACAACATCCATCGCCGCAGATTCCTTACTTTTAGCTCTCCACGTTCCTTATTTTTTCCAGGGATCAGGACCTTCCTGGGGTGATTCCATTCAGGGTGGAAGCGTAGATCACTTTTGCCAAACAGTAAAAACTACGCTTCAAACCTGCTTGACATGACTCGGGGTGCATACTTCGGAAACCCGAAGGTGGATGATGTTCAATACTAGCTCGTTGTAATCTTCCTGAAGGTATGTATTCGGATGCTCAAGTAAATAGAACAGTGAAAGAGATGTGTAATGGAACAACACTCTACAAGTAGGCGAACAACAATTTTATTGTAATTTGAATCCAGGCACACGTGTAATACGGAAACTGCAATGGTTTACACTGCAAATCCTGTCGATTTGCAAGATTTTTCCCGTAATTCACAAAAATCGGAAAGTTCATTCCTGAAACGCACATGGCACTGATTGGAGATTGGGTTTAGGTCACAACAATGGCTGTCGATGAAATGCCAAAAATGGTCACTTTGTCGGCTTCCCCCTGCAGAGCGTGCAAGTCGTTTACTCTTTTTATTTGCGGATTCGGTGTACAGGGTACCTAAACTCCCCATTGAGGCCAAAATCAAGTACAGTCAACTTCGCTAATAACGACTGCGGATATAACGACAATTCGCGAATAACGACCGAATTTCCATGCCCAGAGCAAAGTCCCATCTAACTGTATACATTTAACTTCGGATATAACGACTATCTGAATAACGACAATTCGCGTATAGCGACATGCTTTTAGTGCCCCGTGGTCATATTCACTGCTTGAATAACGACTTTCTGGGCTTTTGACAGCTATTTCAAGTACCTGTCAGTCAAGTACATGTACCTCTCATGCAGAAGTACCAGAACCTATGGTGCGCTTGTCTTCACCACGGCTGGCAGTGCATCCCCAGAATGCTTGCGGTTTTTGAAGCGATTATGCGCTATGCTGGCACAGCATGATGGCAAGCCCTACGGCGAGGTTATGGCCTATGTCAGATGCCGTCTGTCGTTTGCACTCCTCCGAGCTGCAGTTATGTGCATCAGAGGGGCTCGCTCTGCATACCATCGACCGGTAAATGCATTGCGCCCACTAGCCATGGCTGAGGGACGGATGTAACAGTGGTGTGTATAACCTCGCTAATGGCAGTGTCCTCAATGCTAATGGACGCGTCATGTTTTTGTTTATAATTTAAGGTGCAATTTAGCGCTGATGTGGGTATTTCTTTGCTTTTCATCATTTGGTCCTTTAAAATGAAGCGGCTTTTTATTTCCTTTTTTCTTCTTTTGCACCGAGATATTATTTCTTGCTGTTTTTTACCGGATGTGTCACGACTTTGAATTGAATTGAATTTTCCTGAATTGATTTGATTTTTAGCGTTATGAGCGGCTTTATTGACATTGCCCTTCAGATTGGATTTTTTATTTTTTAATAAACAAAGAGAGAACCTATGGTGATAAAAGGCACACATGCAAGAAAATGCAGCCAAGGGGGGGGGGGGGCTTTTTTTCCTTTTATAATGTTGGCTTCAAAATTGTTGGATTTACCAGCACACCTATATTATGTATACAATGTACATGTAGTTGTACATGATTGTACAGTAATCATCATACATGTACATGTACATGTACATGTCTCTGGCCCTGTAGATGGCTCAAAAAGGCATATTTTTCAATTCATTTCCCTTGCATATTGAATTTTTAGTTCCTTGCAACTGCAATATGAAAATAAAGTACACATTGACATAGAGCAAGACAAGAGCTTGATTTTGATATGCATATCATACTATACAAAATATGGGTTCACATACATTCAAATGGGACTTCGGTTATAAGGACACTTCGCGAATAAGGACACTTTTCTGATGCCCCGCCGAATGTCGTTATTGGCGAAGTTGACTGTATTCGATTTCTAAGTGCAACAGGGTGCTTGAATTTGACGACTTCTGAGTTCTTGGCTGATGGACTATGTACAGTGTACATGCCCTCGTACTTCACTTCCACCGCCAAGCGCTAGCCTTTTTAGAAGCACATGACAGTGATTTGTGCCTTCAGTTGCGCTGAAAAGTGAAAATACAGGACTTCTGAATAGGAAAGTACTGATCCCTGACATTTTGGCTACTTTTCGGACGTTTCCTTTTTCGCACCGGTTTTCGGAAGAGCCTTCAAAAATCGGACGGTTTGGCAGCACTGCATGTGTACTGAGACATTCAACGCCCCGATACATAACATAGTCCTCCTAGCTCCAACACGTCTATGTACGAGGCGCACACCGACAACCTCCCAACTTACTTGGAAGGCTCAGGTTAGGAAAGGTCCAAGACGGAAAGGAAAGCGCAACGAAGAAGAGCACGAGCTAAGTCCCACAGCAACACAGAATGCCGAAAGTTACTGGATGATGATGTCAATAGTAAGACGTGTCGACATACCGATCAGCTTACTACAACTCGACGACAAGAGGCAACAGACCACCCAATTTGGGAGGCTCAAGTTGATGTAATAAAAAATGGAAAGCTACGACGAATTGTTACAAACCGAAACATCAGCATCCAACTGAACTCCACTATGATGTAAATAATATGATGGGACCCAGTTGTCCATCATTCCCTGTCAGTTTTGTGCCTTTTCGTCGCAATCGCTGCGATGGTGGCCAGTTAGTCATGCATGGAACGCGTACCACTTTGTCCGTCTCCTTTCTATCCATGATCACATTAGCTTACTATCCACGTCCAACTTCCTGTACAAACTAGTTCAAGGAATCATGTGTGATATGCTTTGACACCCCGTTGTCATAATTCACTGGTGCAAGGAGCATTGCATCGTAACTTTGAAACCATACAAATGACGTCAACTTGAAATTCTGCCAGGACAGCAGGGTATGCGGGAGTTGCACACTCTTGGGGGGGGGGGGGGATACGTAGATCTACACTTGACAGCAGCAGTACACCCTGCATTGTATTGAATGACATATCTCGGCAGGCGGAGGCAGATGCGAGTTCACAGCAAGCAAAGCCGGACACCGGAGAGGCTGCAGCAGAGACGGATCGGTCGAGAACTGTCAACAGAAGAATGCTTGGTCCGGCTGCCTCAGCAGGGCAGAGCAGCAGAAGCAGAGACGAGATGATCAGGAGGAGAAGACTAGATTGTACACATCCATGAGTATCCATGCCATGCACAACGTACGGCACGAAGCAGCTGCCGCTGCCAACCTACGACTCGAAAGCTAGAAACCTTTTTTCCCATGGCCATCAAAAATAATTATAGTTATCCATAAATTGGACCATAATCCCTAGAAGCTCGGCGTGAAACAGATGCACGAGCAGTGGTGCCTCAGACAGGCTAGTAAAGATGTACAAAGTGAAACATTGCCATTGCACCCTCGGCCATTCGCACCAGTTCGTAATTGCCTGGCTCGATACATGGCGAAGGAAAAGAAAATGGTAATTTCAAAAGAGACAAGAAATATAAATTCAGGCAGTGCGCTCATTTGCTTAGCTGCTTGTACGGGTGTCTTCAAATAACTGTCAGAAGCGGCATGAAAAGAATCTTTGTAAGCGTTAGAATCCATCGTTGTTCTCCTTTAGTCTGTCTTCTTTGCGCTAGCCACTGGCTTTGCTGGAGTAGACCTTGATGCACACAAGCCACAGAGAATCACAGTTTTGTAGACACAAAAAATGTGAGGGCGCACATAGAGACTCCACAGAGATAATAATATATAGTTTATACTGCCACAGAAAGCTTTTCGACAGTACATGCATGCAAATACACATGCACACACGTGCATACACACACACACACACACACACACACACACACACACACACACACACACACACACACACTGTGACATGCCTTGAGAGTTGATACTATAAAACAGGTTACTTACTTCCAGCTCGCCGGCAGGAACACATGTACCAACAGGAGCACTGCCCAAGAAACATGGAAATAAAAGCCGACGCGGGTAGCCACCTACAGCGGTCAACAAGGGGAACCAACAGAACATCTTTAAAAAAAAGAAGCTGAGAAGGAAGTGACACATACGGAGGCAAAATGCAAAGACTGAACTGTAAACATGCAATGCCAATCCTTGGACTGAATACGTGCACAAGAGTGTGGATCCAATACTTCCAACTCTCAATCCCGGGATCAAGCTGTATTTACCACTGCCCCCCCCCCCCCCCCCCCCCCGAAGGTCATACTTGCATCTAGTGTAGGTTGCTAAATAGCAGCGGATGTGATATAGGCTTCCCTAGCACTATTGATTACACACCCACACATTATGTTACACCCACCCACACCCACATGAACGACACGAAACGTCCGGCGTCCAGCTTACCAGAACAACTTTGCCCCAGCCAAGAAAGGACATGCCGATGTATCCGTAGGCGATGGCCATATGGGTGTAAGTGGAACACAGCGCGTGTGCAATCACACGTGGTACCAGAGGCAGGGATGCCAGTGATTGGACACCTGTTAGGTTCTTCAGCACTGTGATATACTGGTCATTGGGAGAAAAGACAATGCAAAAGAAGTTTTCACAAACACTGAACGCCTCACCGAGACCACTAGACGGGACTAGACAACACAAAACAAGATAACCTCAGCGCTAGTGCAAATTCAAGTTCATACTCCAGCACACAGCATGCTCAATGGTTTGCAACCCACCCTAATGGCAAGCCTCTTCTACCTTCTTTCATGGATGGACAAGAACGATGTCTTTGTCACGAGTACATCACTTTCATTGTGTCCCGATTGGTCAAAGAACTGCTGTATACTTATGTACATGTACAAGTATTGATGGTGCTACGGTATGGGATAACCTGGCCGGAGATCAGTGATGGTGGGACCGTACAAAAGCTACATGACTGTACATACTACACTATGGGTCTGTGCAGGGACAAGAAGCCCACCAGGCACCACTGCCGGTTACGGTGTTGCGGAGCTAGACTGTGCACGGACAAAGCCGCAACAAAAGCTGCTGCTGCCTCCACTGCGGCATCGGGTTTGGCTTCACTTACGCGTGTTTCCACAAATAGCGTTAGGAACTCGCAGATGAGGAAAGTCCAGAAGTAGCCAAAGTGAACGCCGTGCCATATGGAAATGTAGATGGTGCTCAGCAGCAGAGATGCGTACCAATTTCCCAAGAAGGCCAGGCGCTTGAAGATGTATCTGCAGGAACACGCCGCACGATGAAGGAAAGATAGTCAGTATATAATCATTATCATGTCACGCTTGCGCCTTTGCTTTGAATGTCACATGCAATTGTTTTATGCTCAGGAAAGGAAGTACCGTAAAATCCCGCCAGAGCGCCCCGCCTCTCCCATCCGCCCCTCCCTGACTTTTCTTGTCAGGGAAGTGATTGATTGTATCCTCGTATGACTCTGTGATGTCGTAGTGTACTGCAGACGGTGACCCTCTTGACCAGGGTTTGCACAAACCCTGAGTTTTTATGGGTCTGTACGACTCCTGGCTCTTGACCTTTGATCGGTGTACGAGATGCACGAGCAGTTTTTGTAGGGTGAGTACTTTTCATGTAGTACTGAATGCGGTAAGTAGGACTCGCCCATCCGCCCCTCCCCACCCCACCTGGACCTTCTCGAAGGGTGGAGGAGGTAGGGGCGCTCTGGCGGGATTTTACGGTACACGCACGCCCCAGAGAATGTACCTCCTGGATCACCGCATGGACAATGCAAGTAGTGCAGCTACAGTCCATTTCAAATGTATAGACGCGTGAACTCATACGTGACAAATCCGTTCGAGTCATACCGTCACGTAGCGCACTGCAGCTGTGAGTTTTGCATGTGTTTTTCAGGTTTTTCTAAATTTTCTTCGCCGCGGCGGGAAGTACAAAAAGATGCAAAAGACACAAAGTCGCAAATGAAAAGGTGCGCAATAGGGGTGAAACGATCAGTTCGAGTATTCGTTCGAAAATTTCAAACGAGCGAGTATTCGAAATTCTGCACTCGATCTTTTTTTTTTTAGTATTGGCATTCTATTTTTCAAAAACTTTTGTTGTGTCGCTCGTCCACTGTGTGTATGCGTTATCAAGAGTACATAACCCCCCAGAGTGTGCAACGCCGATCCAGCTCTGTGTAGGGTCTTGGTCGAGCGGAATCGGATCTTCTGATGTCATGCGTACACTTCACACCAGCGCAAGGCCGGTCTCGAGGCAGGGCACCATTGTTTTTGATCCAAGAGTACCCGCGACTCCCCGGGTTCCCCTCAGATGTGTACGGTATTATGACGCAAAGATCCGATTCCGCTCGACCAAGACCCTACACAGAGCTGGATCAGGCGTTGCACACTCTGGGGGTTATGTACTCTTGGCGTTATGCATGCCTTTGAGTCAGTATTTTATGACTTGGACGATGAGATCACCACGGCAAGTAACGTCAGTTAACGGTGTCGTTTTTAGATATGAAAGTACTGATGAAAATCATTACTAATCTTTACACTCTGTACAAGACTTTGGCGGCTTTTGTTCTATGTTCACAGATAATTTCTTCCGAATCGGTCGAGAACTCACAAATCTAGCACTTTTGAATTTTGATAAATACTCGAAATAATCGGATACTCGATCGAATATTATGAACGAGTGATCGATTGGTCAAAATAGATGCTCGTTTCACCCCTAGTGCGCAAGAGTTCATAACCCCCATAACCCTGGGGGTTATGAACTCTTGGTGTGAGGAAAGTCTCAAATGAATCTTCTTCTTGTTTGCATTTTCTGACTGCCTGACTGCAATGGCTTCGAAGGCCCGTAAGAATCTCAGTGATGCCGAGAAAGATATGGTTAGTCGTGTTCACAGTTACTTCGAACAAGAGCTGGATTTGAATCGACGCTTGAGTGTCCGAAATCCTCGTCATCGAACTCACCTTGCAACTGGTGTGAGTGAAACCACTGTCACTCGTTGTGTCAGGCAAAGTTCTGGAGGTGCCTACTATCTTGCTGGTGATGGGAATCGTAGTGATTCTGAAGGCGAAGATTAAAACGAGTCTGAACAAAACGAGTCTTCTGCCAAACCAGGCCGGCCCAAGGTGGAATTCGACGAGTTCACGCAGTGTTCTGTGACGCAGGTATTTCACGGATTGTTTTCGTGAGTGACAAATTCCAACGGTGGAAAAGGTGTTCCAGAAGTGTGTGGAGTCGTTTTCCGACTTACCATCTATATCAAAAACCGCGTTTCGGAGATCCATCAAGTCTACGTACAAGCGAACTGAAGGTAACCAGAAGGCAATGATGGAGCGCCCGGACATCATCGCTTGGCGTCACAGATTTCTGAGAGAGTACAGAGAGTATCGTGCTGAAGAAAGGCCACTGGTGTTACTTGACGAGACATGGGTCAATGCTCACCACACTGTACCATTTCAGTGGTATGGAAAAGAAGAAACAGCAGCGCAAACAAGCAGCCACTGGAGGCACCGTCTGGAAAAGGGAAGCGTCTCATCATTTTGAGCGCGGGATGGGAAGGTGGATTTCTCCCGAATTGTGACCTGGTGTTCATTGGTTACACGAAAAGCACAGACCACCATGACGAAATGAATGCAGTTCACTTTGAAGAATGTTGGGAAGATCGGCTTATGCCAAATCTACTGCTGTGATCGTCATGGACAATGCACCATACATGGACCCAGGACATGTTGAAACCGGAGTTGTACCAGCTGGTGAAGGCCCACAAACCCCAGCCAGTTTACAGATGTGACGACCTTGCTGCCCAGCAGGGTTTCATGGTGCTGCGACTTCCCCCTTACCACTATGTGTTCAATCCCATTGAGCTGATGTGGGCCTGGATCAAGGGAGAAGTTGGGAAACGCAATATGACATTCAAGATTGCGGACGTCAGAGAGCTCGTGAAGGTGGTCATGGCTGAGGTGCCTCCAGAGCAATGGACAGATGCAGTTGAGCATTGCAGCAGGCTGATCGATGAAGCATGGGTCAGGGACGGTCTTCAGGAAGAGGTACGTGAGCAGATAGTCATAACCCTGGGCGGCGATAGCAGCAGCTCAAGTGACTCGGAATGAATACCTCTCGAACGGAGCGTGGGTTTCGCCACTGCCTTGCTTAGCCGTCTTACCTCTGTGACGGAGTGTGATTTCGTCACTGCCTTCCTGAGCCGTTACCACTACTGTGTGTTTCTGGCATTGTCTCGTTGAGACATTAACCTTGCAAATGATAAACCAACTCTTTTGTGTGATTTGAATGGTAGACCTGGATGAACATTGGAGTCACCAGAGTGTCGGGGAAAGAATGAATAGTTTTGGGAAGTTTGGTTTCGCTTGTCCGCTGCTTTTCGGAGTTGTGGGCAGAGAATTCAGATACCCATATTGCTGTAGGAAAGAAAAAGGACCAAGGAACTACAAGTTACGCTATAATGTCCACTAACACCACCATTTACTAAACAATCCGCTCATGCGATAACATTGCACGACACTGATTGACGATACTGACGTGATTGTTTAGTGACTGGTGGTGCTAGTGGACATTATAGCGTAACTTGTAGTTCCTTGGTCTTTTTCTTTCTTATAAATTAATCCTTGGCTCTCCGTCCGAGTCCATTCCCGCACAAATTGCTGTGGTGTTTTTTATTGAATGAGACTGGGAATTCCATACATAATATGTTTGCACGATGTTTCTTTTCTTTCTTTTTTAAGAAAAGGAGGCTCAAATCATATCGAATACCCCACACTTGTACTGGATGGAAATCACGGATCGAAACCACGAGGCTATCAGGACCCGTACAAAAATGTACGCGTGATGGCCTGGGTACAGCACTGTCTCAGCGAGAGCAAACATCCGAAACAGACTGGTCAAACCCTTAAAACCAGAAATTATATGTAAACCGGGCCTAAAATAAACTTCATTTGTAGCGAAAACTCAAAAGTATATAGCCAAAATTATGAGGCGATGCAGAGACGGAATCTGGAGAAAAAACTCAAAAAATCCCATCGAATTTTGGAAAACACTGCGCATCTATATATTTGAAATGGACTATAGAGACAGTACAGTGTACATGGATCGCGGATTTTATTATGCGCGAGGGTATGCCTCCCCTCCCGCACCCCCATCTGCGTACGCCCCTGCTACTTCAAAGCTCACCCATCACTATTTACACTGACCTTACACTTTACAGCTTTCTGGGAATTTCTACTACTTTTCTGTGTTGATAAATGGGTACGGGTGTTTTCTTTTCTATACAGAGAGCACCTCCGGGATATTTTCAAGTTTCAAAGCATGAATGCCGGTCGGCTCAACGAAGCAAAATCACAAGAAGTGGTGGCAAGTGCGTGCACTCAAACACACACACACACACACACACACACACACAAACAGGTGTGTAGCATACCGTTTGACGAAGCGATGTGTAGCACAGTTGAACTTGACACTGTACATCTGCAAAGGGGCAGATTTGAGACAGACAGGTACACAGTTCGGTTAGGCAACTTCTACAAGTTGAACACTTCATACATCCAAGCAACAGATCAAGTCAAGAGGCACGCACATCATTCTGTCTTGCAACAAAGAAGGAAATCATCCATGATACGCACACAAGCGACTCGATAGCATTAGTGAAATGCAGGGCCGCCATACAAGAGAGCACCAGACCAGACCATCAGTAACTTACTGCGCAGTTGGTTGGCAAGACTAGCTGTCCAAAATGCACCTGACGGCACAGATGAAACTGGGGACCGCTGGCATCGGTTCCACTGTAACCCAGGGTACACAGGCAAGCAGCCGATTCCTGCACAACAGCAAAAAGTAAATACATTGGGGAGAGAACAAGATTAGTGGACATTCAAGAGGACAGTGCGAGGAGTATATGAGTGAAAAGATACAAAAAATGTTTAGTGCCGCTGTGGGCTGCTGCTTGACACTATGCATCTACTTGTCTTGAGGAGGTATACGTGTGTACTTGTGCTAGATATTGTGTCGCTCCATTCGTATACACACCAATACCAGTAGCAGTGGCAGTAGCAGTAGCAGTGGCAGTATCAGGACACCCCATGCATACAGTGTCACACGTTCACTCACCACAAGCTTCCAGACACCGACATATTTGCACAGGTCCAACATTCCGTGTATCGTAAGCAAAGCAATACGAGTCACCAAATCGCGCTCCTAGCAAGGAAAAACACCACCAGAAGAGAGCAAAAGACAGGTATTCTCAATGAGCTTACACGGTCTAAATCATAACTTGACAAGGGAGACCCGCATTGTGTTTAGCTGCATACTTTGCACAGAGCTGCAAGCAATCCATCCGTGTCAGTAACGCTGCTGTTCGTATCGACCATGCATCTCACATTACAGTATCTCTGGAGAAGCACGTACCTCAAATGTATCGGCCAGAAACATTGATTTGGGCACGATGAGCACACCGACGAAGGTGAGAGCTACACCCAGCACTGCCTGAAGAAGACATCTCAAGCATGACATGACACTCCTAGCAAGGACAGAAACACACACAAGCCCAGCTCAACGGTAGTGTAACAATCACACACACACAATCACACACACAATCGCACACACACACACCACATCTACGGTTAGATTGTGGCATACTTGTGCCCTACCAGTTAGACCGACTCAGAGGTGACACATTCACCATTGAAGGATGAATGGTGGGACAGGGGTACGGCAGCAGCAACAGCATGGTGTGCTCCATTAGTACAACGCTGCCGTCATAGGAGCTGTTTGAGCATCAGCAGTGGGATGGAAGATAACCACAATATCTGCACAGAGTCGTCAGGGATGCTTCTCAGGACTGCAGCAGCACAAGTTAGAGTTGAGTGGAACAAACTGCAAGTTCTCAAAGCTGTCAACGCAAATTCTGCGCTGCATTTGTTCTTCGCCATTACTACATACACCAAGCAAGAAGAAAGCGAAACTTACCTGAGTGTGAGTGAATATTTCTTTGCATCGAAGTCTTTCAGGTGAGCGCCGTGTACAAATCTTTCGTACTCATTGAAGTTAATCTACATACACACAGTCAGAAGCAGACCAATCCACGGCACCAGTAAACCTTACTGATCTTCATACCTGGTAAAACTTGCACGCAAGGCTTATGTAATCAACTACTCGTAGGACCCACACCAGGACAGCTCACACTCATTAACTCGTATAAATGGCACAAGGTGATGATTGGTCAAAGACTCCTAGCATACTGAGTTTCTTTACAGACTAGACTTGAAAGAGTGTTTGCGTTATCCTGAAGAGAAGCAACTCACCATAGGTCCGCCAACTGCAGTCAGGGGATTGAACTTGAAGCCAAGGTACTGAAAACGAAAACAACACACACTCATCAGAGATGGCGGAATCATGATATGGGGCAGTGTTGAGCAAAAACAAACCATTAAAAGTGTCAAGCTCGGCAGGGAGCAATAACTTCATTTACTAATACCGCTGAAGTTGCTATTTCTAAACCAAAATGACATGCTTAAATTTTTGGCTGCAAGTGCAAAATGAACGTGGACCACATAAATAAATACTTTTTCAAGTATTATAGTCGGACTGTTCACAGCGGCACACTCAACTGTCTTCACTTTCTGAGTTGCCCCCACGCACAATAGGATAGCTGAGGAGAAATCCATCCCCAACATCACTCGTAAAATAAATAAAATAGATATTCAGGAGCACGTACAGCAGGTGTTCACTATGTGAAACGAAAGAGCTAACAGACAACGAACTTACTGCAATCAGCGACGGAATTTTAGCAATGGACAGCATCTTCTGATCGGCATTCTTCTTCTCCTAACCAAGTTGGAGGACAGACATTGTACAAAAACGTCATAACTGGAAACATCATTAACAAAACGAATGTGCGTACTGGGTTGATCAAAAAAATTAATAGTATCTCACTGCATACATTCACTTTGATCATTAGCGTGGAAGTGAGCTCTCACTTCCACGGTACAGTTGAATTTCAAACACTGCCCTCAAGACAGTAATGCAAGTCACTAAAGATTAGAATCAAGAAGAAAGGACCAAAGGGTTCACTAAAGATTAACTGCAGTTATAGGGGTTTCACACTCACGTTTATTTTCACTTTTATAGGAGTTGAAAACGTAGCTCTTCGCGGCCATGCATTCACACTCACACTTTTCTCCCACATTTTGCAGCAGTTCCCATAGAGATAGCATTGCGTCATTATCCATAGCACGTGCACCCGTGCAGGAAAGTGAGGGAAATTTGAATTTGAGTATTTTGACGCAACATCAACGCGAGATGGAGCTGAAGGATTTCAAGTGAAGCTGCAGAGAAAAATGGACACTGCAGGCATCCCACCCTGTTTGCTTTTGTTGTTGATCTGGCGAGGCTTGAACCAGCTTCCGCCAAGTAGAATCTTCTCCAGGCGGAAGTTGAGGATTTCAACAGCTCGCTTTTCCTTCGACTGCCGGCTTTTCATCATCTTGTCTGTTGACGACATTCACTCCAAACCTCTACGAGCATGGCTTCCGTTGTCTCATCAAATTTCTTGCAAGGCATGTCGGCAAGGTCGCAGGAGATAGAAATCACAACTACCAGGTTTTGACAAGAAGTGGAATGAGAAAGAAGCCTCGTGTCGACTGCGAGCATAATTAGGTAGGTGAAATTCTCTCAGCCGCCACGTGTCAGCTCCATTGGATTTCCCCGCCAAATAGTTTCCTGGACGATGATTGGTTGACATGATTACCGAAACTCAAGAACGGCAAAAATCATAGCCGTAAACGTAATCGTGACCGTGGGGTTCTGTGCCACGTCTACGTTTCCCGTTTTCCCGTTTACGTTTCGGGGAAAACCCCAAAAGAGTCGGTCGTTGCTATGATACTTTGCCGTATTAAAACGTGAAAATAAACGTGAGTGTGAAACCCCTATTAGTTGATAGCCATGGGTGTTGAATGCGAGTTTTGCTGCACTAAAACTACAGTCCAAGTCGTGACCGCTCCATACTGTACAGGAAATACTTCCAAAATAGTCTTTCTAGACCGGGTGGTCTTTCTACGCAAGTCAAAATTCATTGGGAAGTGAGCTACAGTAACCCGAGATGAGCGTGCACCACGGTCTCGCTGTAACAGGAGTCCAGCAGGGTGAAATACTAGCAAACCCAGCCACAAAAGCAAAGATCGTAACCCCAGCAAGAAACGGCCATGCGCTTACCGGTGGCAAGCGACTGTCAGTCACATCCATGCAGAAGGCTGTGAAGGGAAAACAAAGCAGATCATGATGAACATTCTAGTTTAGCATACAGACATTGTGGACTCTACAGGGGTCATGCGAATGACATCACCACATGACATCACTGCATAGAACCAGTGCTACTGATACCACACCAAAAGACGCTAACATGACGGCATCATCGCAAAACCTCTTTGCCGCTTTTGCAGAATTTTCTTGCTAGGGTGTCTTGGCAAAAGAATGAAGGTGTCGATTCGTGAAACAGCAGGGCCCTTGCGGCACACACAGGTACAGGCTGAAGTCAAATCAGCCAGCGTCAGAGCACAGGAGCATTCAAAGAGACCTCTTACTATCCAGGCTCGACATGCCTGACATCAGCCCACAGTAGGAAAGTACTGTTCCAGTGGGAACAAATGGTGGGACTGTCTGGCTCACATCACATGCCGCGAAGCAGTCAGCCCACACATCACTGGATCGTTCAACACCATCAGCTAATGTCATCACGAATGCCTTACCAAATAGTGCCTGCACGTTGACACACGCTGGTGTCATCCAGCCAACACTGTACTCGTCAGAGGCGTACGTACTTAATCCCCAGACAAGATGAGCCTAAATATTCGGCACAGCAGCGCAAAACAACAACCCAAGATTCTTCAAAATTTGAAGAATAATCATGTTCATGTGGTATCACCACTCTTCACTAAAAGCCCCCCCCCCCCCCCTTCTATCCGTCTATCTACCGATGCACGGGAGGTTGTGGCAACTGCCAGGAAAGTGCTCCATGCGCAGAGTGCAGACCATTTTCAGGTCCAACTGGAACCTGTTGTGACTCAAAGTTTCCTGCCAAAGTGATCATCGGACAACTTACAATAAAACCTGGGGACGAACGTTTATTACTACTATCTATGCGGAATGAGGAATTCATAGTGCTAAATAGTAAATACTAAATAGATGGTGATGAACCAGGCTTATCTATCTCCTCAGGTGGACCGGTAAGTTTTGCTCACCAGATCACAAGCTAAAGATAGTCACCGATATTGATATCCATGAGAAATATATGTAGCAGCATCACTACGTGTACAAGCACCATCTTACCAGTGGCGCGATCAGGAAAATGGATGATCGCAGAGTTCCAGCCGGCATGACGCACACAAGAACGTATCCCAAGAGCGAAGGAATAGCAAGATGCAAGGAATCCCATCCTGCCAAGGAGAGACATAGAAAAACTGGTTCACTCGCAATGCCAGAGCAAATATATTTCATGATTCAAATACTCTCCGAGGTATGGCTCACTGCAGCTGACTGCTGATATAGTGCAGGATGAAGCTCAAGCAGATGACAGAACAATGCTGTGCAGTGCACGGATCCCGTTTCCAATTTAAAAGCCTGACGTTCTCTCGCTCGATTTTCGTCTGACAACAATTGACACAAGTAAGAGCACTTTCCCTTCTCCACTTGCAAAACAGGTGCCCTATACTAAACATGCTCTCCGTCAATGTTGTTCTCCCCTTGCGAAACCCATACAAGCTGTAGGCAGACACTTTCCTGTCAGAATACATGTATTTCCATAGAAAAATAGTACAGTCAACTTCGCTTATAACGACAGCGGATATAACGACAATTCGCGAATAACGACAGAATTTCCATGCCCAGAGCAAAGTCCCATCCCACTGGAATACATATAAGGCCGCACGTTTTTATTTCTATGTTTCTCGTCACCCGCGCGCATACGATTCAGGAGTCTGGAAGAAAAAAAGAAAAAAACTGTGCTGCACTGACTGTGCATGTGGGGACCAGCACACTCACGCACATGTACATAACGTGGCCTGGCCTGCGCAACACATGATGCAAGGACGGCATGTTTGTGCCCAATCTAGCTGCACATGCACAGATTGTGACAGAAGCTCCTACCACATACTAGTTGCTAACTATGGATGCTATTTTGCATGGTGGTGTACGGTGTATTGGTGGATTTTAGTGTGAACAAAGGTCTAATAAACTTTTTTATTTTTCGGTCATTTTTATTTTTTTCCACCTCTCGCATACGTTT